TGCGGAGCTGATCTGCAGAAGACCTAGGGGACAGCCAAGATATATCTGGTGCAAATATATGGAAGACATTTGCTCCAGACTCCAGTTGCCTTCTGTTGATGCTCACACTAGGGCGCATGATCGGCAACGTTGGAATCACTGTCTGATGTGTCTGCTATTGCACCCGAAAGTAGAAGTGATCATGGAAGGTATAGATGAAGATTAAAATGACGATGAGATGAAGTTGAATAATAACAGTGAGAAAAATATGCTCTAAAGGGAATCTAAACACCAAAAAAAGGGAGTCATAAAATTTTGAAAGAACTAAATGAATCTTTGGCAGTCGCATAATCTGAAAAATTATAATATACTTATTCGTAAAACTTTAATCTAATTAAGCTCCTATAGTTAATTATTCTGGAGCTTAATGAGATTTTCTGGTCCTTATTAATATTCTTATTCCGATTTCTGCGCTCAAGGTGGTTCCAATAATCACCGTTGCTATGTCTGATTTTAACAATTTTTAAGGCAAGTTATGTTGCTTTCTTGCTGCGTCTTTAAAAATTAGGCACTGCTTAGGTCGAGAAATCATAAAAAAAAACTAATAATGTATGTCATTTATTAACGTTGCATGCAGCTGGAAAAACTCAAGTTGTTACTTTATTATGAAATCAAAATAAATCCTTTGAAAGGTTGGCATCATCTGAGTACTGCTAATAAAATTCCATCTTCATCTATGTGGTGCTGATTACTTACATTAGATTCAGTTTGAAAAATGAACGGTATGTTAAATCGTTAAATGGTGTCCATAATCAACTTGACAAAGCACTCTTACTTCCCTTTACTTTTAATGACATTGAGGATAAATAGAAATTTACGTTAATGACATGAGATTAATCAGTAATGTAGACGCCTAACTGAAAGTGAGGTCTTAATTTCACATATCTTATTTTGGAATTAGATGCGCTGTGAGTAGTAACTGGTTACATTTACAGTAACCTTTTATCGCTGAAAATTTGCTATAAGTAAAATCTGACTTTCTGATCCGCGCTACAGTTGTCCGGACATTCCTACAGGACTGTTCATGTAGATGCGACGATGCTTTCTCGGGCTTCTGTACATTACATATTTGATGGTGGTACTAAACTTTATTTGAAAGTCTGAATGCTGAATTTTCGCTTAGATGCCGAGGAGAACTGAAAGTTAGCTCAATGGTGGCAGTTTGTGATAATGCGTGAATTCAAAGTGGTTGTGCTGGGCAGCGGCGGCGTTGGTAAAAGTGCTCTGACTGTACAGTTCGTGTCGAATACGTTCATCGAGAAGTACGACCCGACAATCGAGGATTTCTACCGCAAGGAAATCGAGGTGGACGGTCAGCCGTGTGTGCTCGAAATACTAGACACTGCCGGAACGGAGCAGTTCGCGTCAATGAGGGACCTGTACATAAAAAACGGCCAGGGATTTGTCATTGTTTATAGCATCACTAGTCATCAGACGTTTCACGACATCAAGGGCCTGCGCGATCAGATCATTCGCGTCAAGGGCACAGACCAGGTGCCTATCCTCTTGGTCGGTAACAAGTGCGACTTGGATTACCAGCGCCAGGTACATAGCGATGAAGGCGTGGCGTTAGCTCAGTTCTGGAACTGTCCTTTCGTCGAGTGTTCGGCGAAGATCGCGCAGAACGTGAACACGGTGTTCGCCGAGATCGTGCACGAAATGAACTACATACAAAAGGCGAAGCAGCACCGCAAAACGCGCTGCTGTGACAACGGTAAATGCATCCTGTCTTGATGTGAGGCGAGACGAGGCGATTCTGCTGCCGCTGTCCTTCATCTACCTTGTCATCGTCGGCTTGGTCTTGGTCTCGGTCGTGGCGATGAAACGACCGACCGACCGATCAGGCATGTGTGTACTTCTACAAGCGTTGTTATAACTTTATCCGATTCAATTGCTGTTTCGCGTATTTATGCATTATGCATATTCTTATTCACTCGTATTCGTCGTAATAAACGTCGTTTTCAGCCGATTGTCGTACTGCACTACTCTCGACAGTGTACTGTACTCTAGGCAATGTACTCTGCTGTTCACCGAGCATCAGCCTTGGCAGACGCGTCGCGTTGCAACGTACCGCAACTGGGCGCGACGCGACGCGACGCGACATGTCTCCGCATAGACTACAATTACCACAGTGCGACGAATC